TTTATGTGAATGTTTTTATTATATTGGATGATTGCATAAGTTCGTGCCCGATTTAAAGATAAACTTCAATAGGTTATATTTTAAAGAATACACTTTTATTAATCAATTATATAGTCTCCATTCTCCTCTACAATGGTTTTCCAACGATCTACAAGCTTGTCGATTCCATTTTTGAAGAAAAAACTTGGTTTTTTTTTGAAAAAAGTTTGTAAGGTGCTTTTCGACAGCTTCCTCGGAATTGAGATTCTTGCCATTCAAACTATTCTGCAAAGACCGGAACAGATGAAAATCTGAAGGCGCAATGTCTGGAGAGTATGGCGGGTGCTGCAGAATTTCCCATTGCAACTCCTGCAGTTTTCGCAGCGTCTGTTGGGCGACGTGTGGCCTAGCATTGTCGTGATGGAAGATGATGCCTTTTCGATTGGCTAAAACCGGACGTTTTTCTCGAATAGCTGCATCGAGTCTAGTGAGTTGCTCACAGTATTTGTCCGCCGTGATTGTTTCGCCGCGTCGGAGCAGCTCGAAGTGAATAATTCCCCTGCAATCCCACCAAACACACAGCAACACCTTCATCGGATGCAGGCCAGCTTTTGCGACGGGTTCTGCTCCTTCAGCTGCTTTTTTCCATGTCCTCTTCCGCTGTACGTTGTTGTAGAGAATCCACTTCTCATCGGCCTGTTACCATTCGATCCAAAAAAGGCTCTTTTTGTTACGCTCGAGAAGGGAAAGGGCTACAGTCATGCGGTTCAGCTTATTCCTTTCAGTCAGGAGATGCGGCACCCACGTATTATCGAGCTTGGAAACGTATCCAAGCTTTTTTAAATGGCGAAAAGCGGTTGAATTATCAATGTTCAGCCTCTCAGCAATATCCTCAGTTGTAATCCTTGGGTTTTTTTCCACTAAGGCACACACAATGTCGTCATCAATGCCAGAAGGCCGTCCAGAGCGGGGTTGATCTTCCATGTTAAAATCACCATTTCGAAATCTGCCAAACCACTTTTTGACTGTCCGGAGAGCAGGAGCACGGTCCAAATAAACGCTCTGAATGTTTTTTTGTGCAGTCCCAACACTCACGCCTTTTCGAAATTCATATAGCATTACATGTCGCAAATGCACCTTTTCGTTCTCCATTTTTAATAATTTCTCTTATGCACAAATGGACTTATCTGAACAATGCCTGATGCTAAAGTGACATAAGACACTGTCACCTATCCGGTGCAAGCAATATTACCAAACGAAAACAATAGAACTCCGTCATGCAATAACTTAATGCCATCTATGAAAATCGGGCACGAACTTATGCAATTATCCAATATATAGAAATTCTCAGAAATTATGCAAAAAAATCATTGATGAATTCAATAATGAAAGGATATTTTTCAATATTATATGGTATTATTTTTGAATTATGTTAATGTTTCTAATGATTAAATCTTTTGTGTGTGTGTGTGTCAGAGGCTATAATTTTTTTAATAAAATAAAATTATTTAAGATGAATAAAAAGATTAATGCAGCAAAAAATTTCAATTATTAACGCTAATGATTCCATCATCCAGCAACGTTTATGGTCAAGAGAGTATTCCAATTGCTGGCATATATTCAAAGTATACAAAAGCTATTCCCCGGCAATGTAATTGACTAACAAATTGACATTAACGATTATTAATGTCGCATAAAGTTAATTAATACTCTACAATTTGTATTACCAACTTATCGTGTCGTTTAGTAGTCTATTACGATTTAATTACATCACACTCGACGTTTATCTCGTGTATCCGATAAATTTTTTAATTAGCGTACCTTCCGCGCGCTTCCATCCGAATCAAGATTATCAATTATCCGTTGTCGTCGTTTTATTGCGAATCGTCGAACGTTTTTCCCGCGAATAGAGCCGATAATCAGTTCACTCGCGAATAACAACCGATCAAATCGAGGATCGATCGACATCACCGTCTCTTCGTCGTGTGATTCTGCATTATCGATGTACGCAAGCTGTTATATGTGATCAGTGTGCGTGATGCAGCCGATATTGCGAGCACGTATCGTGAATTCCATTTGATTTGAATCACACTAGTGGCATCTTGTCTCACTCGAGAATATCTCGCACATCGACGTTACAATGTGGTTTGATTTTGTCTTAAAAAAATTCGAAATATCAAAAAATCAATGTTATTCTTTCGATGAAATGTCATAATAAAATAATTACATTAAAGTTCCTGTCTGAATTCCATTTTAATCAAAAACAATTAAAGTGAATGTAATTAAGTTGGATAATTTTCTGAACAAAATCATGATCAGAATTTTTATAATATGATAATGAATCTTTATTAAGTACATACGTCTTAAATGCGTACGTCAATATCCTAAAAAATTAGTAAAATTAAAAATTTTGTCTTTTTTATTTATTTTCGTGAAAAAAGCTTCGGAAAATATGATAACTATTTCGGAAACGCTATCGCCGCAGAAATTTCATTTTCGAATAATAAATTCTCGAACGCAGCCGCGGAATATTCAACCGCACTCGAGTATCGTCCTTTCATGTGAACGAGAGACGCAAAACGTAAAACCGCTTATGAGACCGAGGGTGTGATGTCGTACAAAAAAAGAGGAAAACCGCGCGACGGAGGGAGACCATGAAGGAACCATGAATGGGGAAGTCAACGCGATTCCATCCACGAAAGGATGCATTAAACCTCGACAACGACGTGAATACAAGCTTAGGGACGCGCGAGCAACCTGAAAGCGCGGTTTATGCTCTTCGGATCCGTCGATCGATGCCCGTACCTGAGAGCGAATCGAATACGATTATTGATGCATCGCGAATACACTCGTCGCACTGTCGCCTATAATAAATTCTCGACCTCCTCGGATAAGGAACATCGGATCCCTCACCTCTTTGCTCCGCGATGCTTATAAACAGTTCCTCCAGGAGGAAGGTTGCTCCGAAGCTCTTTTCGCTCAAGCACGTATACACGAGATGGTGCTCTTGCCAAGGTTTGCATTAAACTTGAGAAGCGTATTCTTTGATGAAGTCGGTCGACGAATTTTCCTCGCTGAATATTTAATCGTGTCTGTACGAGCAACTCCTGAATCTTTGACGTTAAATAGCGCCTTAACCCTTTCACTGTTCATTTCCCTTCTCCTATTCGACAAATAGATAGATCTTCCGTTAATATGTGTGAAAACGTTAAGATTCATTGTTACGTGACATCTTGGTACATGTCTAATTAAATTTCTGAGCAAGTAAAGTCTACTGTGAGATTTTAAAAAAATAAACAATAAGATTTCCTTTCCTTTAATTAAAAACTACATTCATAAAAAGATTCCATTTTAATTATAATTAAAAAATTGTCGCTACTCCAATATTCGACTCGAAATTAAGTTGACATTTCTGAGAAATTCGCACGAAATTCGTAAGAAATGATAGTCTCTGTATTTCTATAATAATGGAAGATATATCCCTATTTCCATAGGATAGTTATATTGTGGTCCCTATCCAGCAATTGACGTACACGCGATACAAAGTAGAGCTCCGATTAAATGAACGTTCGGGAAATAGGAGCTATTTCCGATATCGAAAAAGACGTGAGCTCGAGATTTCGGTAGCATTAGACGCGACACGAGCGTCGATTGGCCAGAAACGCACCTAAGAATCGCCTTTGCTACGAAGCAGCTCGTTTCCGAACGTCTTTTCTCGGTACTCGCCAATAAATGGTCCGGTTGCTCTCCCTCTAAAGCGCAAAGTCGTTCCGACAAATGGAACTTCTCATAGAGAAGATTGCAATAGCAATCATAAAGCGATACGATGGAAAAATTGAGCCTCGTAACGATGTCGTCACTGGCCTCTTGTAAAATTCTTGTTAAGATCAAATACTTGGTATTTCTTACGATTATCATGACTCGTCGAACGTTATTGATATCGATACAATATATCTTTCATTTTATACAGACTATAATTATAACAATTGGAGGCCATGAAAAACGAAAAATACGAAATAATAACCATAATTTTGAAGTATTGCTTATTGTTACTGTTATTTGACATAAAGTAACAAAATAAAATCAGTCTAATTTTTTATCCGTTGTCATTAAAAGATTTAAAAAAATGCGAAAAATTTGTATTATTTATTATTATTTATTTCGCATTTTTTATGATATGTATAATTATTTGAATTTTTCCTTCTAGTGGAGAGAAAATATTTATCAAATAAAAATAACAGAAATCTAGTTTAAATTTCTTTTGCATAAAAGTTGATTTAAAGTTACTTTCGATAGTACTTAATATTATATAGACTTATCTCTATCGCGGCAGGGGAAGGATATAAATCAAAGTTTTCGCATTCACTTACAGCTGCAAGGAAACTTTAAGTTTCGCACTTAATTTAAGTTTGCATATTATGCCCAGCATCAAAATATCAATTAATTCTTGCAAAACTCATTCGCAAACATCATCTTTCTTATCTGTTCATTGAGATGTATCATAAGTCACAAATTTCCTGTCAACAAGTATCTAAAAATCTGTACTTAATTAACATACTAACAATCAATTTTATCTCTGACAATTATATTCGCTTATACGTTCATTTAATAGAGATTATACGAGGACTATCGATTAATCTTTCGTCATAATTCATCTTTACTTTAAATTGCAATGCTGCGTATGCAAAATGCCTATCATCGATAATCAGCTTTACTTACATAATTCTAAAATCGATGTGTGCAATATATTTTTAACTTTAATAATTCTAAAAACCATGTAGCATTATTCGCGTAATTTTGCAATTTATATTATTTCTGTCTCTCTTTATATTCGAGGAAAAAAATAATTTCTCGCGCGTCGAAAACCTCAAAATAGCTTTTTGATCCGAGTATATACTCGATTCGGGCACCAAATCCGGAATTGATTTCGACGAGAGACAAAAATTGGTATTCATATCAGGGAATACCATTTCGAAGGTAAGCGGCTTTCTGTGTAAGTAAGAATGGAGTAAGGTACTCACGTTAGAGGTGTCGTCGAGTTTCCGCTTCCACGCATCGCTACGTTCGATTAAAGCGTTCCACTGCTCCGAAAGTTTATTCACTTCGCGGCGAATGCTCCGCGTCAATTCGCGCGCCTGCTCCTCGGCGCTTCTGTATCCTCTGGAATCACCGTCCAATTCTCTGCCTGCTATAGAGAAAGCAAACAGAGGATAAACCGTTAAACATTTTCCAGAGCAAACCTACACAATTCTAGTTTTCATTTAGTTATATGCTTTTGTTATTTCGCAAATATAGATGAATATTGAGGCTTCTACGCGATACAATGTTTGTTATAAAAATAGCAAAGATCTCTTAAAATATTATTTTAATACTGTATTAATATTTTATTTTATGTGTTTTAAAAAATAATATTTATTAATAACATTTTTCTGAGAAGAATATTTATCTTACTGTGTTTAATATACGCTTAACAAAATAGTCTTATTATAACAATAATTTCCTGGATATGAAAATTTAACTGAAATAGATAGATGATTTTGCATACATTTTACACTTGATCAATCGAAATGACATAAATATCTCAATTGTTAGTGAGAAAGGAAGTTTTTCTGTGACGTCGGTTAATTTATTTATTATAAAATTTGACATGTGATATATAAAAAATCGTTTTTCATAAAAATCATTCTACTTGTAGCATCAAAATTCATATTTATCCAACGCAATGATATGTGGCAATTGAATCTAGAAGATATCACTAAGATTTACAATTATAAATTCTACATATTATAAGCAATATTAACAGATACAAAAAAGCTAAGTTTTTATTGTTATACTAGAAATCTATCTATATCAACAAAAATTTCTTTGAGTGTACATATGAAAGAAGAGACACTCAGCAATTTGTAGCAAACATTAATTAATTGCCAATATTTTTCTAAAGCTTTAAAATATTGGAAAGATAGAAACGCACGCATGTAATACCTCACATCATGCGATGAAAAAAAATGTTTTATATATCCTGATATAATATTATATCGCATCAGAGTTACTAACGCAACGCATGCATTCAAGATCGCATCTTTCCGATGCGAGTCTGTGCTTCCATAAGTACCAGCGCGTATTCGCGAAAGAAAAAGAGCGGTCCGAGGAACCGATCGAATCGCGCAAAAATATCTCTTCTCGCTGATTCCTCAGCGCTGTCGATCGATAAATCCGACGTGCGGTCGGGCGATTAAACGCGAACGCGCAGGATGAATCGCGGCGAAGACCAGCTGGGTAACATCGCGAACATAAATCAACATAACACGCGGTAGATAGGAAACCAACGAGCAGGCGCGCATAGGTATACAGCATCGGCGTTATCAATGCTAAACATGCACATAAAAACTGTCCGCTGCATGATACGATGCGTGATTCATAGGACAATTAATTCCTGGCGATAGGCTCGGATAGCTAACCCGGGTTTCGACCATTTCTCTACGCTTCGTTACGCGCGTTCCCGGTCCGGTTGGTGAAAAATAAAAGGGTTTCTCGCGAGCGCGCCATCACGGCATTTTTACGGGTATCCAGGGAGATATGTTCGGCAGTAAATCCCACGATAAAGGCTCACCGATGATATTAAAAGATGGGGAAAAAACGATTTGCTCGTGACAGGACATCAGGCGTGGCCGTGATTATCTTCCGGGTCACGTGAGATTGAACGATCAATCTAGGTAACGGCTAATGGATAACAACTCGCGGAAAAGCGCGGCGAATGTTTGCCGCGTGCGGAAAATGCGAGTAGTTTGTTGCGATGATTCTGTTGTATGTATTGCACTTATACATCTTATATATCCGTGTAACTGCGCATGATGCATTTAATAATTAAATTATTAATACGAAATATGAACATATTGCGAGCAAAAAATATACATACTTTACAAATTTTAAAAAAGATAAAATCTTTTTAATCAGAATTTTATCGTGCTTCATAATTTTCTCGTCGATCTTCCTTGATTCAAAAGTAAAATCAAATTTATATGATAATTTCTCTCAAGTTATATTGTCTTTTAAAATAGAAAAAGGGGAAACTTGTTATAAAAATAAAAAAAGAGAAACTTTTTAATGTACAACTCTATAATTTGAAAAATATTCGCGAGAGTATACGCAAGAAATATACACAATCTAAGATTTTCTTCTCACGTTATCACATATTGATCTCCCTGGTAAGGGACTGACAGATGGAATGAACCAGTCGGATGCAGTTTCCATTCTTTAAAGGAACAAGCAATGCGAAAAAGTGAACGATCGCGGGAAACAACAAGGTAGATCGAGCAAAAAAAACGTTTCAGAAAACAGTCTACAGCGAATTGAATTAGACGACCGTGCTCTTCATTACTAAACCATCTATTCAACAGTTGACGCTCTACTTTCCGAACACGTACGCCGCTAGTTTATCTAGTTCCTGTTCGCTGACTCTTTCCCAACCTCATTTTAATCCACATCCCCGGAGTGTCACGCTAATTCTTTCTTCCTTCACCACACTGCATTCAGATTTAAGTAGGAAGTGGGTGACGAAGGCGGAAATAACGACGAGGTTCTCTAAAGAGTGGAATATAAATCCCGCGGCTGTCATTGAGCAATATGAATGAAAATGTCAAAAGCCTCGGATTTCAAAAATGCAACATTTTCATCTCACTTCGCACTTACAAAATCATGATTATAATTCATAATACGTCGTAATTGTAATGATTCAAATATTAATATATATGCAATTTATTTATTTATAGCTATTTAATTGTCTAATAAACAATTAAATAATAATTGATTAATATAAGAATATACATATTAAACCAAAAATCAGTAATACTTTGATTTATCACAATCTATAAAGTAATGAAGAACTTTGATTTGTCAGAAACTATTTTCTATAAATTAGTATTTGAATTAAAAAGCAATTGAAAAATTGACTTTCGACACGTACGTATAAAGTACTTTAACTTTTCTAATTTACAACATTCTTGATTCAATCTATCCTTTCAGGACTTCCTAATTATTCTGAATAGTATAATTGAAGATTCTTATTCTGAATAGTATAATTGAAGATTCTTATTCTTCTTGACAGTATTCTGACAGTATGAGAAAATTACATCGTATATATTCCTAGCTACGACAATGGCAATTAAGAAGAGGCAAAACTATTCCAGGTCAACTATTTCCGTCTGATCGATCATTCTAGGAAGGAACTATTGACGCGTTTTGAGAGATGTATGGTCCAATCGATTTCAATTCGCGGACGTAATAATGTGTTTGTAAGATATAAATCCAAAATTATAGAGAATTTATCAAATGTTTTATCTCGCCCTAGAATAAAATGAGAATTCTCTCATTTATTTTGACATAAAAAATATATCGGAGAAATGCGTACATCAATTTTGATTTAATAATAATTTAATAAATAAATAGATATAAGCATGATTAATAATTTCTTTATTATATTTCGAAATATTTATAGTAGATATAAAATATAATTTATCTTTTTTTGACATTGATAACAATTCTACCGATAAGAACTCTATTCCACACATCAATAAGTTCTAGTTTCGTTCCGATCGACCGAACACGGGAACCACGAATGAAGTTCGCGAATAATTTGCGCTGGCGAATTCAACGTCGGAATTATACAAGGTGAATTACTCAGCCTTTTAGAATATCTTCATAAATATTGATTTTACAGAACAACGTTTAAGATAAAAATTAATTAATTTTGAAAAGCATACATTTTGGTCATCTTAATTTTTTTTATATAGTGAGGCGTCATTAATTTAATAAATAAAATTAATTCATTTTCTTCGAAAAATTATTACTCTAATTATTTTCATTTCAATTATTCCACGCTTATTATAGCTTAAATTCGTCTTTTCATTTTTTATAATAATGATTAATCAGAAATAAGGTTTTCCATATAAAAAAAAAACTTGAGATGACCACCAAGACGTTTTTAAAGTTTCCAAAAAAAAAAACCAAAAAAAACGAAGGGAACCAAGACGTAGTCCTTTCAAAATTATTTAACTTTTGTCCGAAATGTTTTCTCCATAAAATCAATATTTATGAAGATTTTAGAAGGCTATTTCTGTGACTCACCCCGTATAATCTAGCCTTACGGTGCGATGTTATTCTACCGGAAATTTATCGACGTTGTGCGGCGCGGCCGGGCAGCAGCCGATGCAGGGCACGTTTCGCGAAACGTGACTTCCTATGGAATGAGCGAAATCGCGCGCGGCCGCTGCGCGTAGTTGCTCGCTCGCAGGAGCCGCACATCCCACGTTATTGGGATCAAATCCGTTTCTCGCACGCAGAGCGAAGCTATCGTTACGGGTATTCCGAGATCTTACATTGGATATTACAAGAAATACGGTGAATGACAATGATCGAGGCCCTGGAAACCGCGTCATCGAACATAACTCTCGTGGACAGATGAAGTGATACCGAGAGATTATTCGTTCGAATAACGATTATTAATATTGCAGATACAGTTGCAACTTATGATACTAATATAAAATGACATAACCAACGTTTAATGGTTTTCAATGATGATATATTTTGTCTAAACGATTGGCTAAAATGCATTGAAAATATGATTATTTTTGCTTCTTATCAAATTTAAAGAAACGTATTTATTGCTGCGTAGTTTGAGATTCACGAAATCTCTATTTGAGATACCATTTTAATTCATTCAAGCCTTCTTGCGAATATTTTGCATATATCAAAAATTTATATATACAGGGTGTCCCATTTTAATGCCCCACCCCAAATAACTTTCTTATTTTTAATTTTAGAAAAAGATGTTTCAGACAAAAGTTGTATGGTTTCGAGGGGGACATAAGATGGTACCATTAATTTGATCTTGAAGAGTCACATGAAGGTTACGTGAAGATCATTTTCAATTTCTTAAATGGAACACCCTATATATTTTTGCATATTCTTGTAGCTTATCTCGAGAGCTTTCCAAAACACTATAAATAAACATTTTTTCATCAAGTACGTTTCGAGTAATGAGGCTTGAAATCATTTCTTAATTTTACATAAACCATAAAATATCTTGTAAAATATTCATTTTTTGATTATCTTACCTTAATACTTTTATGTACAAAATAATGAGAGAAATCAATTGGTGTAAAGAAAACATACAGTTGTTTTTAAGAAAAAATATGGAATTGTTAATTGCAAATTACATATTTTTTTCTTAAAAACAACTGTATGTTTTCTTTGCACCAATGGATTTCTCTCATTATTTTGTACATAAAAGTATTAAGGTAAGATAATCAAAAAATGAATATTTTACAAGATATTTTATGGTTTATGTAAAATTAAGAAATGATTTCAAGCCTCATTACTCGAAACGTACTTGATGAAAAAATGTTTATTTATAGTGTTTTGGAAAGCTCTCGAGATAAGCTACAAGAATATGCAAAAATATATAGGGTGTTCCATTTAAGAAATTGAAAATGATCTTCACGTAACCTTCATGTGACTCTTCAAGATCAAATTAATGGTACCATCTTATGTCCCCCTCGAAACCATACAACTTTTTTCTGAAACATCTTTTTCTAAAATTAAAAATAAGAAAGTTATTTGGGGTGGGGCATTAAAATGGGACACCCTGTATATATTTTTTTTTTACCGGACAGTATTGATTATTAATTCTACGAATTAATCTCATAATATGTACAATCTGGCACTGAATATAGTTTAACGACACCAGCATTAGCGAGTTTTACGCGAACACATTTTCCAAGTAATTAAATCTCGTTTTGACGAAGGCTAATGAATTTTTGAAAACTTGCTTAAATTATCGTCGATCGGCTATTTCGATATTTGACCATTAATCGCGCGATTTTCTGACGGTAATTACACAATCACTCAATGACATCGATACGTGTGAGTTAATTCAAAATATATTAAATACAATTTTTAAAAAAATTGATTTTTTCAATAATGATTGTTTTTGCGTATTATTCATTGAGCATATAACACTTTATTGTGTATTAATAATCTATAAATTCTCTCTAGCGTTATTGAAAAACATATAAAAATTACAATAAAGACATTGCATAAATGTTTCCACATTTATAATAAATAATAGAGTAAATAATAAATTTCGAAACAATCAATCATTTAAATGTAATTGATTTAAACAACTTATGTTGCCATAAAAACTTTTACAACTTTTCCGAGATGAAAAAACGAGTTTGTTACGTTACAACAAGCTATTCCAAGAATAATAAGTATCTTTTATTGACTAATTACGCAATAGCAGTTGAGAGAGGAATATGGCAAACTGTGTCGTATCTTCCTCCGGGACTCCAGCAAGTCCTACAAGTTTTCAGTCCCTCTCGGGGACATCTCTTCTAAAGCCTCCGCGTCGTCTTCCATCGATATCGATATACTACGATAGTTGTAATTCAATTGAAAATCCCACGTGGTTTGCGACGGAATTACGTTTACTTAGCCGCAATAATTTCTTTTTCTAGCCAACACATAGTACAAATACTCGCCTTCTTACGAAAATTAAATAAAAATATCAATAAATACAGTGTGCAAGTTTTACACGAAAAACAAAAATACAACTATAGTTTTTTTTACATATAAGGTTAAGAATGAAATTCTCAACAAAGTGCATTCAAACTATAGATAAAATTAGCACTTTATTCTTTTATAAGTCACACGTAGATTTTTTATTGGAAAATATTTGATTCGCGTGATGGAAAGTGCATCGATGAAATTTAATTATCAAACTAAAATTCTTGTCATATTAAATTTATATTACGCTTCATATAAGATATGACTTGCAGTGTATCGTAAAAAACTATAATTAAAATAATTTCAAATAAAATCTCGTCCCACGTTCGATTTTCAACAAATCAAAGAAATTGGATTCATCTCGATGTATTATTTAGTGCCTTACTTCATTTTTCCTGTTCCTATTCAATCAGAGACGGTGCAACATGAATAAAACATCTCGTCTAAATTTCACAACTCAGAGTTGCTGATACAGAACGAAAACTGGAAAGCGTACGCCTGTAACTGGTTAGAAACGCTTCATATCGGTTCCCGATAGATTCGCGTTAATACCGTCTGCTAGAAGTTTTATTTCCGAATACTTGAAATGATATTACGATACAATACGATATTGTAAGAAAAAAATTACTTGTAATGATTATATAAAAGATACTTGCATAACTATATTAGACTATACTATAAAAATAATACTCTCCAATATAAATAATAAAAAAAAATTTATTTTTTTTTTAATTGTGAAACGAAATTTAGATTAAAATATAAATTAGGTGTATTTTTAATAAAATAGGTTTTACTTCTCGCATAACACATTTAAATATATCTTTGTAAATAATAATCATCATTAATCCTCAAACTTTGTTCAAAACTTTCTAAGCAAAGAAGGATAAATTAAAATAAATATAAATATAATAAAGTTAAGTTTGATATATGACATGAAAAATTTTTGAAATACTATTTTATATTTGATATTATAGACCATCACATATTTCTTTATTCTCAAATTGTGATCAATTTTTAGAGAATTATTCTTAGCTATAAATTTGTAAATTATTTATAAAATAAAACATAATTCACATCAGATATCTAGTGAGTTTTTTTTAAATATCTGTATTTTTATATCTCGATGAGATTATATAAATGAAATGCTCAAGGCGTCGCAGTTACGCATTTTTCTCCCTTGTTATACTTGAAAAGGGAATGACAATAAAGAATGAAGCTCGTTTCTGGTCTCGCAAGTTAGGCCAAGAAAAGAGAAAAAAAGAGAGCAAAATATTTGTTAGTATCTTTCAACAACTCGGAATATGCACAATAAAATTTTCAATTCAATGTGAAAATTTACGAACTCGAAAGAAAAGGTGTGAATTATTAAAATACAATCGCGAGTTTACGCAGAGGAAGAGCAAAATAAAATAAAATGTTTCATATTTGTGACAAATTATGACAAATATAGTGAACATTCATTTAAAATCTTGTTAATTTTATCAAAATATCGTATCAATAGTTTAGGAAAAAAAATATGAGACATTTTCTTTCGAGTTTAAGCAATACTGTTATTATATTCTCCACATTATATTTTTTATGCCATCCAAAATAATAAAAGGAAATATCAGATATTGCAGATTTTTTTGATAAGCGTCTCTTTTTATAGATTAAAATAACATGACTGGGAATACTAACGGAAGGACAATGGCGGCAGTAACAATTCGTTAATTAAATCAAACGGTGACAGAAACAAAGAGAGGGAAAAAATCCTGTGCTCTCTTCCAAACCGATAGACTGGTGAGATAGACTGGGACTCGAAGTTCCTGCCTCCGGTAATTGGTACGAAAAATTACGAATGCAAGAATAAAAGCGCGAATTGATGAGATTGAAAGGCACACTACCGTTCTTAATTACTGAGCACTATCGGCGAACTCAGTCTTGCGTTATGAGGTGGTTTCACGGAACTAACGATGAATATATTCGCCGATTTTCTTTGTTCTTTCGCGAGATGTTTGTTGGCGCGAACAAAATGGAGCGATTTTGAAGTTTTTTTTTATGATATTATGCGAAAGTAATTTTTAAAAATTCAGACTCAGAAGGGTATATATATTACGAGAAACTCAAAAGTGTAAAATTTACGCTCTTGAGTTTTTTTATTATTATCAAGAAAACATTTTCTATTTGCAAAATAATATATTATGTATCATAATATATTAATAATATTCTGTATCATAAAATATTATTAGAAAAAAATTGTCAGTCTTTTGCATACTATCTTTCACATATGTTAATATATTATTAAAAATTGTTAATTATAATTTGAAGAAAAATCATTAGATTATGATTTATGTATAATTTATATTATGTATCATAAAATATTACGTGTATTAATATATTACATTATTGTAATATGTAGCATATGTATTATTAAAAATTGTTAAGTTAAGTTAAAGAAAAATCGTTAAGTTCTCGATTTATATATAATTCATAATTCACGTACCTTCAGAGTCCGATGTGTCCGACAGCGGAGGCTCATTGGCGATGTACTGGCGGCCGCTCAGCAAATTGTTCTCCACGACCGGTCGTTTGTCCTCCAGCTGTCTTCTAAAGCCACGATGGTCGTCCTGTGAAGGAGAAACGTAAATCGTGAAACAAAAATAACGAGACAAGGAGCATCGGTGTCTGGTGCAGTGCCAGGTTTTCCCTTGGCGAATCAACTCTTCGTCGCGAAAGAGGCTTTAAAAAAATCACTTTGCCTTGACTAAATTCGTCTGCTGACTGCAATAAATAAGATGGAACCTTGGAATGATGTCATTATCGTTTTACATTACTTTAACAGCATTATTTGCAAATTCTAATATATCAATTAATCTAATAAACAAAGTAATTAATAGAAAAAGGGTAAATATATTTATAAAAAATAAAATAGGTATATTGGAAAGAAAAATATCATAATTATATACATTTGTAGAATTTAACTCTATGATGATTTTCTTATATTATATTATATTTTATATTATAGTAAGAGCAGTCGCCCGGCAAGCGAAAGACTCGGGTTCGATTCCCGATTAAACGACTTCGCCCCGATATTTTTCTTGTCTACATCTCTTCAGGGTGGGTAAAGAGAAGTTTTATAGAATTCTCAAAACATGAGAATCTATATCTTGATATATACACCAAGTAAAATATATGTATAAATGCTTTGGTGCACGTTTAAAATTTTCGCGAACAATTAATATTTATGAAATTTACGCATTACCATCCGCGTTTGGCTCTTAATCGCTCGTTTCTTAATTATCATATTGTTAAATACATAGAGCCGAATTCTTTATCAATTTATTTTATATTATAGTCATAAAAGTAATAGATATTGAATTTATTTAAATAATGGAATTTAATGACAAAAAATGCGTATATTCTATAAGTCTTTAAATATATTGTAATATAACAAAATAACAGGATAATGAAAAATTAAATAATAAATATTCTTATATTAGAATTTTACAATGTATATGCAATATCATCCATATACTACTGTGTCGCGATGCAGGAACATCAACATATGTAATTTATTTCGTAATTGCGGTTGATGTGATGTGTACAGCGGACTTGAAAATTAGTCCACTGCAGTCAACGAGAAAAAAAGTCGAGTGGATAAAAAGGCACTCTTACGATATTGCACACCTGCTAGTTAACGAGATTATTTCTCATCGTTCGTGGGGTTAAGGATTTGCTGCGGGCAAAACGTCGCGAGTTTCTTTCTGGCGTGTCGAAAGACGACCAGACGACATGTTCATCTAGTTTCCGTCTTCTTTTTTATATCGCTAGAGAAGAAAATTCATCGCAAACGAAACGAATGAGAAGTAAGAAGGTTTTTTTTGTCGTTTTTTTTGCTCGAGTTTTTTAAAAAGATTGTTTTCGCGCGATTGCTTTACATTAACCAACGTAACAGACGCTCGTAATTTAGTTTTGTATTTGTATTTTCGTAGTATTTTCGTTATATTTAACCTAACCTAACCCGAAATAAATTAAATTATTTAATATTCTATTTTTCAATCCTACATCGATGTTATTTTCCACGATTTTTTTAGTGTTTTAACGTAAATTATGATGGACGTTGTATCAATTGCTGATAAAAAACGATTGTTTTTTTAAGAATAAAATCACACATATATTTCTTTATGAATGTAGATCTATTTATACTTTTACAAACCGATTGAAGGAATAAAAAACATGATATATGAAATATCTCACAACAAATAAAGACAATCTTGCGTAATTTTTCTTCATTTAATAATATCATTTTTTCTAATTTGCTTTTATAAATCTAACAAAATTATATAAAACAATAATTTATATCATGATTTGAGCTTATTAATCGTTAGCTATTTATCGCCACTTGCTTCATAGTAATTGGGAGTTTGCGAGATAAGTTTTGAAGAAGAGATATAATCTGCCAGAAGAAAAATATATTATTAAATAAATTGGTTAAATTGGTGTTCTGCAGAACACAGATTTCATGATATACTGATCATTAATCATTCTTATATCTTTCTTATTTTCTTTCCTCGCTTCCCATTTCGAAGAGTGATGGCGCAACACGCGGTGAGTGATAGAAATCTCATTGCGTTTATTCTTTATTTTTTTTTGTTCTTTCGTAATTCTCATTGTACAGATATTTCTCTTCCAAAGTCTTTGTTAGTTCACCAGTTTACGTGTAAATCATGCTTTTTTGATACAAATATATTGTTATTCTTGTTATTCAACGAATAAAATATTTTCTGTGGCGCTGTCAAATTTAATTATGAACTAATTAATCATAAATATTTATGTTCTTATTATAAATTGAATGAAAATTTATGACGCACGCTTAGTTGCTAGTTACACATAAGGCGTTAATAAAGAAATTGGGACGACTAAATTAGAACTATCCGTTCAATTAGACAGTTGAACATTTTCTAATTGCTTGCAGCAAGATGACGAGTCGTCTTATCAATGAGGTTATCATATTATAAGAGATTAATTACAAGATATATACGGCAACACAATGTACTGATGTGTATCATAATAATGTATGTGTAACTGACGTTAAGAATCTTCAGCATTTAACTGTAATCCGTTCAATTATGATATCGAAAACGGGAATAAATTATTTCAAAACAATTTTATTATAAAGCTCCACGAGAAAAGAAAAGCCTTTTGTCTGATATTTAATATGCATAATGCAAGACGACAAAAAAGAGGAAATATTTACATGATAAACAATTTAATTTCACAACAATTTTATTATAGAATAAAATTGCTCTTTCTCTCATATTTTATGAGCGTAGCATAATCAATAATAAAACTGCTTTAATGTAAATGCATTATATAATTCTTTGAAAAAAAACTGTCTGTTTTATACGAACGATGCAATTGAACGAAAAGAAATTTAAACACTTAAATGTTTAAATTTCTTTTCGTTTAGTTGAGTATAAAATAAGGGGATTTTAAATGATCAATTGGCTGATTAATAAATTTAAAAGTGAATATCGAGAATAGAACGGCCATAATCATTCTTCAAATAGATTTCTTCTCAACGAAGGCATATTATTTTTTATTTACGACTGATGCACGGCGAGTCCTATACCATTGGGTGTTAAATGTTTCACATGTTACGAGTGTCGACAGACCTCTCCGTAAACAATCGGGGTAACTCTATGGTGGTAGATCCGGGCTCTCCCGAAAGAAACATACCGGCATAAATTCCGAGGTGATAGTGGACTAAAGTGCTCCTCCGAAAAATAACTTCCAAACGCGACCATTCTCGCGTACGGAAAGCGTACGGAAATTTCGACGTGGCACAACGAAACAAAAATATCAATCGTTCGCACATAGAGGCACAAGGTAAAAATGTGCTTGACGAAAAACGAATATGAGCGTCCATTAAAAGACACATACAGTACCAATCAAAAGCATTGGATAAAAAATACAGAAAAATGATTAAATTTTTTTTCCTAATTGTTTGACTTATGTTCATAAAATATGAAAAATGTATATTATTTATTATTTGGCTTCTAAAATTAGTTAATATACAATTATAATATTTGATTCGATACTGTTTAAAATGCGTTATATTAATTAAAGTTATTTATAAATGTTTATATTACCGAATTTAAAAAAAAAAACTCAAAAATGCTAAGAATATGTGCGGCAGTATTGAAAGCAAAGAGAGACTCTATTTTGAAGAATTAAAAATTTCATATTTGTTATTATTTTTTTATAATTTTTTACGATATTAAAAAATAAATACATGTAATTACCGATTCGATTTAATTTTCCTCATTTTAATATTCAATTATAAATAATTTCATTATTAATATGTTATGTCGACTTATAATAATTCAAAATATTAGATATATAAAATATTAGATACATAAAAATATTATACACTTATATATAATTTGTCTCTAATAAATTTTTAAAAATTCACAAACTTTTAAGTTGAGTCGAAAATTACCAGAAAATGATTTCATGGACTTTTGACCGATAGTGTATGCTCTCAGCGCGGATTCAGAGGCAGATTTACCTCGAAAGCAAATCGATGACCTGCCGCAAATCGATACGTTCAAATTCTCGATCCAAGCATCGCCACTGTAGACTCTCGTTATACATCGTGGCAGTTTTGATTTACGGATGTACTCCCGCAAAAGATGTGTAAAATACAGGCGCGCGCGTCCGTCGTCGGATGAAACGACGCGCGAGTTTACGCGACGGTCGGGATATTGATCGCGGGCGAATAGAATTTTTCAGGACGGCTTGCGTAAGAGAAACGACCGTCGATGCTCGTTACGTCGTCGTTGCAACGGCGACTAACTGCGCGAAAGCGATCGGCTTTCATTCCGATTGCGTGGACGCAATAAACGCTCTTTTAATTACGCGCCACCGTCGTTCCGACTTCGATACCGAGATGAGCAGCCGTTTCAATGCGGCAGTTTTGAGTCTGATCGAATGAAACCGCTTTGCCATTGCCAGATCACTTTTATGCGAAAATTTTGCGAACGTTTATATAATTCAAGATCGCGTTTACGCTCATATGCGCCATCGTAAATTTCAATTTACGCATTTTTCGCCGGACTTCTAGAGAAATATGCTTTAAATATAACGTACGTTGACGTAGAAAAATATCAAGAAATTTATTTCAGAAAATGTATTTTAACGATATAAAATAGATTTTGCATGTAAAATAATTATTATGATAGAAATGACGCTAGAATTACACTTGTCATATGCAGTGTCGCGTAAGCGTTATATTATTGTTGTATCAGCGTTGCACAATAATACATCACATTTACTCTCTATTCTGGTTCATTAGTTGCCTACAATTGGATTAATCGCAAAGTTTCTTTGATAATGAGAGATAATGTCGTTTGATGTCGTTTAATGTTTAGAGGTTGATTTAGACTTGCAAATGAGTTGATTATACGCAATTAATACTTAATTTTTGCTCTGCTTACTAAATTAATTTTTGGAATATTTTCTGACGATTGCAAAACTCGTTGCCTGTGACAGACATCACTTTCTGCCATTGATATACATATCCATTAATTTAATTAAAGCAGATTTAATTACAGAAAACATGAATAAATGAAAGGGTAATGTCTATAACACTATTCTGAACGAGCGTAGGAGTTCAACCGTTTGGAAAAAACATCGTGTCTTCACCGTCAAGCGCTAATGAAATCAACAACGCATAATTAAAATTCGTTCGAGGTAAACACCCGAGAATTTCAGAGATATACATGTTTAAAATATTTGCGAAATTATTTAAAATCGATGCATATGCATGTGGGAAGAATTTATTAATTATCGGCAAGTCATTTAAATTGGATCTGCGTATGATCGATTCACATTAACCGCATTTTCCCGATAGCGCAACGATGGCGCATCAAATTTCAAACCGCAGCGATAATTCCGCGACAATTTCGTCAACGATAATTACAGGAACCTCGTTCATTTAAATCGTCACGTTATTTCGGGAGTGAATTTAAAAAAAAAGAAAAGAAAAGAAAAAGTAAACAGTTGTGAGAACTGAGAAGATTAAACGTTTGAGGTGTCGGGGAAATGATCTTAATTGGATCTACGGAGAGAACAGGATAAACAATTACATTAGGAAACAATTGCTCCAAAACACGGTCGGGGGTTGCAGAGCGAGAGTCGGATTCTGTACCTGAAGGAATGCGGAGAACGTACGTAGGAACTGCTGCGGTGCAAATCCCGAGCAACGTTTTCGCAAATCTGTATAAATCCGACTCTCTAAAACGAAATGCTTAAATTTTTCGGATTGCAGTGAAATGTTACGCAAAAAATAGACTTTTCGATATTTATAATATTTTCGCGAAGAGACAAAATTATATTTGCAATTTTGTTTTTTTTTTTTTTGTTATATCACTAGTAACACGCATATAATTTATAATTTGATTGTTTTATTTATTTCGTTATTATACGTAACTATAAAAAAAAAATCAAGTTAAAAAGCTTCGATAATATTTTTCTGCAAAATTTAATTATAATAATATACATTGTAAGATACTGAAAAAAATGTCCGAGAGCTTCCACTTCGAAAATCTCTATATAAATTGATAAATGCGAAAATGTATATTAAAATATATTTATTTTTTCTTCGCGATAATCGCGACAAATTAATATCATTTTCGTGTTAAACGTCTCAAGGCAATCATATTTACGGGAGAAGATCGTTGCGTAAGGCCAATATCGAATGAGCATGCAATCGGTTGATCACTTTACGCTCTCGCTTGAGCAACTAAGGATAATCGATAGCAATTTCCTGTATTCTACGACGCGAGTGACAAATACATACGCAGATCTAACCGCACGATGACATCGAGGATCTGGTCGAGGGACATGCGGCTTATCACCTACGTACACTCGGACTCGCTATCTATGTATATGATACAGACGCTTCTGCCGGCAACACGCACGTTCTAATCTGGATTAATCCAAACTACTAGTGTGCCTTTGTACTATCGCGAAGGATCCTAGGGTATAAATTAGCACGGTTGCATTGACGTATATCTACGGGTGCGTCTAATTTTGGACCACCATATTCAATTTTTAAAACAATTAACGGTTAATAATTCGATAGAACGAGAGAATTATTTAATAGAGCACGTTATCAATACTAATTTATTTTTAAATAGAGTACTAATATACACCTATAATTTACTAAAAATATTATTTTAATATAAGGGAGAGATAAAATATAACAGTGCTCAAAGATTTTTTTAAGATAAACTATTATTATACTTAAGATAAAAATGAAATTTCTATTAAACGAGACTTAGCGAGCAGGAAATTAATTTAATCAGGTAAAATCGGCAATGAATTCAATCAAAGCGTTTAGCGGACAATTGACGCGACAATAGCTAGTAATTGAAACGTGCGTTTCCATGAAGCTTGACGCTCATACGTGGTGAGAATACGTAAACATTCATTCCGCATGAGTTGTCGTATTTCAAAGAGACAGTTGAACACTCGCCTGATAGCACATGAGCTCGTGCTTAATTACATTCTATTCGTCTGTACAGCTTCCGAGGCGGAAATTCGCAAGCGTCTCAAAGGATGACTACGCGGAATCGATTTTATATATATAAGCCATATTCAGGTAACTTGGCTCGAATGCCGAAATTCGAGATTGATGCCGTGTTGCCGAGAAAGATGCTAAATGGAGTGTGCTCGTCTTCCCGAGATAACGAATACGCCGAGAAAAAGTAAACCTCTGGCGTACTTTTATAGGTTTACGCGGACTAACTGAGATTCGACGAGACGGAACCCGAGTAAATCTATGCGCGAAACAACATTCGGTAACTTACTTGTTGTTTTTGTAGCGCAGCCACATCGCCGCAAACGGGTCCCAATCCGGTGAGCTCTGTGTCTTTCCTTATCACCCATTCAATGAGTTCGCGCAACGATAACAGCAAAGCATTCCAGTGCTCCGTGTTGCTTTCCAAGCGATTCCTGCACAGAAAAAATATACGTGTTTTATGTAACTGTTATTCTATATCAAATACCGAAATATTTATTTATTTAATATCGCTATTCTTCATATTTATTTTAAACGTAATATAAATACGAATACATACAAGATTCTATTAAATATCGAAATATTAATTTGCAATATTAATATTCAATTGCACGGTAGATTTTTGTAATTACAATCAAAATTAGACAAAAAGTCACGTCTCAAAATGAATGCCATAGACACTCTAATAGATTCGTAGATGATATCTTACATATCCATTTGAGAGATATAACATTCTCTCGACATAAAATGTTGATGGACGCTCATGCCGTGATACGAAATTCATACGAGAATGCATAACAGCAGTGAGAAAAGTATATAAAACAATTCATCATAAATGCATGTAAGAGTAGTACATATTTGTTGGAGACAGATAGACGTAGTCGTTGTCGAGATAGAATAAGAAAAAGGGACTAGTAAGACGGAGCGGTAAAGTGGATGAGGGAAGAATAAATGTACAGCCTTGATGTTGCCTTGATGGCGCCAAAAGAAACATCAAACGATGAATGAAAAGAGAGGAACGGTGACGTGAAAATAAAGTAAATAAAGATGAAAAAATAGGTAAGTGAAACGGATAGATACTTAAGATAAGTGGATCAAGACTAAAGTGATTGGAAAGAGCAAATGGAATGTAACACATCCTGATATGGTAAAAAGAAGAGAAAAAGACTCTCCTCTCGGGAAAACGTAAATCGAAAAAGACAAATTTCAAAAAGTGTGAGAGAGCAGAGATGAAGTACGCTTGCGGATAAAACGTGGTTGGAGTAAAGCGGATAAATACAGGAAGCAAAAGAGTCCCGAGAAAATTAAAACGGACGAGCATTTTAAGCGTCGACGCGACGAAGTAAACCGTGCGCGACCGAAAAGAAAAGCGGCTGGAAAAAGGAAACCGATGGTAAAGCCGATCACGGCCAAGAAAGAAAACGATTTCAGGCAAATTGGAAAAATACGGAAAAAGCGGTGCAAGCGGTGACGGAAGGTGTTGGTGTACAAACCGACTTCGAAAGGAGACGAGTAGGACAATAAGAGAAGAAAAGAGATGGCTCGAGTGAGAAAAATAAAAGATGGGAGCTCGAGATCAAGGGATATGAATGAATAAAGAACGATCCCTGATAAGTGCGAAAGAGGATAAGAGGAACGTTTCGTCGGAATAAAGTTGATTAAGACAAAGAAGTAGATTGAACATCGGAATAACTTCAGACAAAAAAACGCAAGAGCATAGAGAAATCAGATCAGGAAGATATCTTTAATGAAGGAGATGAGAGGAGAAAAGTATGCAAATGGCGAAATTTGCAGCGGGCAAAATTTCCGAGAGATACGACGAACATGGTGTACGGTAGCAGAGTCGACAAAAATAAATGAAGGATAAATATTGAAGGGAGCGATAAGGTATAATGCCCGCGTGTTTTGTTAATAGTAAGTAAATACCACCGGACGAGAGTGCCGGAAGCGTAAAATAAAATGAAAGACCGGTGGGAAATCACTGAAAGGCGTGGGAGCGCGAAAGGCTGAATATATATACAAAGAAAATGGTCTTAAGAAGAATGAGTACTCGTGATATGTACCGTTGGGAGAAAGAAACTGAAGCAAAAGGGGTTAGAGCGATGCAACGAATAAGATAGATACGGAGGATAAGTCAAAAGAGAAGAATTAGGAGACGATCTCGTAGGTATCCGAGATCATATGGTCTCACGGGTCCATGCACACGTATAAATCACATCTTGCAGTATACATAATATGACATGGACGTAACACTGATAGAAAATGATAACAGTGACGGGACCTCATATTTTATTTTAATGCTAAAATTCATGAGATGGTTGATTCCATTTTTTCGATCCCTTTATTACACACGATTCGATTTATTATGCGAATGACATCTGGCAAAAAAAATATTAATTATATTATAATTTTTTCTTCTTCTTAACAAACGAAAGTATTTGTAGAAATATATTTAATTTCACAAAATCTTTCACAAATGTGCGGTAAAAATATAGAAATACATTTTATATGGAAAATGTAGGAAAAAAGGAGTAAGGTAATATTTGCGATGTATTCCGTTTCATTTCCTGTTTAACTTGTCGTCCATTACCTTGTTGGAACGACTTGTATGCAGATAAAATCCAAAGTGGTGCGAGAAATGAAGAAGCCCCTGCGTAAGGCGAATTAAAGCGGAAGACAGGAACGGCACGAAAACTACTATAAAGAGGTAGGAAGCGCGAAAGAGAGAGGCCAGGAGTTCTGAATAACGGGAGAGAAATTCCCGGGCGAGGATAAAGACCGTGCATACCGGGGGAGCATCGTCGGGGAGGCTCGCGAGGAATAGACGAAGGAGGAAGATGAAGACGTCGCGGAGGTACGCGGGCGAAAGGAGAGCAGGAAGGATGGCGGTTGGGATTTAGATTTATATTTCGCCATTGTTGCACCCACCACCGGTGACGGCACCCACTTACTAGGTCGCATCCAACAATTCCCCCCCTGCGCCTCCCCCTCTTCCTCCCCCCCGTCCTCAACCGTTCTCCTTCCTCGGAGGTCCCTGCGTCGTATCGCAAAGAAACAGCCTCGCTTCCGGATATATTGCGGTTATTGTAACGTCGATGAGAGCTCGGCGGAATTCCGCGTACTTTTGCGATTTGAGCGCGCGTACAGGCGCATTGTACGTGTACGTACACGGGCGCACACCCACGTCGAATGGTATTGCACTTCTCTCAGGGAGATAAGGGCGTAAGGATATTTCGCGCGATGGATGGCGGTACGGGGTTACCGAAAGAAATCGTCCTCATCGCTCCGACGAATCGCGGGAATAAACTTCCCTCACTCGGAGCAGCGGACTGATGTTTGCTCGGGAAAATTTATTCGCACGACGCGGTCACGGGAAGAAGATTAATTTGCGGGATAGTGGAACTACTTTTCGAAAATAAGATATTGGCGTTTTATACTTGGATTTAATACAGCGGATGCAAGAGTGATCTGAAGTGAATTAGCGTCTAGAAATGCGACTCAAATTGGAGTTAATAATTAAATATTATTTTTAAAATATTAAATATATAATAAATATAAAATAATATTTAAAATTAAATATTATTTAGAAAATATTAATATTAAAGATTTATGGGAAATTGTGAAAACTTTTTTACGATGCTGCAATCGTTCACGGCACGGTAACTTTTTCTGATGATCATTAACTGACAGCAACATATTTGGATATAACGAGTACACGATGATGAGGGAAGAACTTCAATTTTGTAATCTTTTGTTTTTCTAACGAAACAATATGAAAAGGGAGAATATTTTACCGTGAATAAAATTTTAAACAAATTTGATATAGAACATTGTTAAAATTATGATAAATAACATTTAAAGAAAACAATATATAAACAATATATAGATTTTATGTATATTAAATTTGAACAATTTGAACACTATTTCACGTTTTACGTTTCACATATATTTTTTACCGTAATAATATTCTTTCACAGAGAAGACAATTTTTATTTCATCACATACCGTACTCGTCAAGATTCATTATTACCTCCGCGCAAATTATTAATTTTAATTAATCGCTGCTCACATATACACATATACCGGCAATTTATCGTCGTGTAATTGAGAAAAAACGAAGTCCGAGTGATTAATAGAATATACGTCGGACCTGTGTCAGTAATGGAATCTTACGGTCACGAAAGCGAGTTTGGCGGAACATTTATTTTCGCTCGTCGTCCGGCTGCCAGAAACAGAGGAGCTTCTACTCGCGGAAAGAGATATACTTCTCGTTCGTGCGATCGCATTTCAATTGAATGTTCAGTAAGTGGTGCTACTCTGTCGCCCTGTTCGCGAACGAGCATCGCCCTCGCGAGCGAGCGATCTTTACGACGTGCTAGGCTGATGTAAAATAAATCACCAAGGAATTTCCTGGGCAGCTATAAAAATCTGCCGACGAAACGTCACGTATCTCGCACTCACTCAATAAAGTCCCGTTGTAGCCACGAGTAAATAAATCATGAACAACGCCCTAGCATTAAGATTTTATTGATAAAGTTACACATGACGACAGTACAATTGTTTGCCGAGTAATAAAAGTCCTTTAGAACCAAAGTTACTCTCTCTGCATACGACTATGTACTCGAAAAGCGAACGTATCCTTTCTCGTAAAGGAAGAAAATAATGGAACGGATAATCCGATTCGTAAAAATATTTTATATATGGAAAAAGCGTGCTCTCGCGAAGATATTAATCTCAATTTTAATATAAATGAACATGAAATAATTTTTAACGGAACCTTTTCTTCCTCGTGAAAAAATCATAACAATGTGATTTCTGCAGAAAAAGAAAAAATATGAAATTTCGTAATAATAGAAAATCAATATTGCAACAGAGAGATATAACGATGCTGTCCTTTTTTTCATTTGCATAATGAAAGAGACACGTACAATAGTGTGTTTACCAAAGTTTCCGGAAAATTTGATTGCGCGAATGCAAGAGCGCAATATATGTATAATTTGAGTTCGTCGCCATTTACGTGTAAATTCAAAAAGGTACAAATACATACGGAATTGAATCGCAAGCGTTGCGAGACATAAAATGTCGGCGAAACTTCTGATTACGCGAGATGGTCCAATTTAGCGTACACAGCCAGAGATTAAAGATAATTAAAACGGCGAAACGCGCACGTGTATATCGGGGAAATGCAGAAACGCTGCAACTGTAAGCACTGATAGCTCAAGGATTTGAAATAAGTCGGAATTTCGTTTCTGACAATATCGACATTCCGAAAGATATTTTTCTTTATCTGCGTTGTCAAACGCGTTTAGAAAATGTCGATAGGAAAGTCGAAAAAGTATTTGAAATGAAAATAAAGCATGTATAAACGGAATGTTTAAAAATTACTTTCCTACCAGTTGTGATAATTTTTATTTAAATATTTTTATATAAATAA